AGTGGCTTTCTCTCATAGCTGGCATCGATACATATACATATATATATATGTATATATGTATGTGCGTACGTCGTGGAAACTGTGATCCGTTGAAGCGTGTTATTATTGCGCTGTCGTCTGATTCCGTCCATGAGCCATGGCTGCTTCTTCTTCTTCCACTTCTTCCTGGACTTACGATGTGTACTTGAGTTTTAGAGGCCAAGACACTCGTCACGGTTTCACTACCATCTTTATAACGCTCTGAAACAGAGAGGAATCCATGTTTACGTGGACGATGCGGAGGTTGAGAAGGGAGATGATATCTCTGCTGAATCATTTTTGCAGGCAATTGAAGCATCACAAATTGTGTTAGTAATTTTCTCTCCAAATTATGCTTATTCGCCGAAATTGTCTGGATGAACTGGTAAGATAATGGAGTGTCAAAGAAGGCTAGCTCAGGTGGTTGTGCCCATATTCTATAAAGTAGATCCGTTTGATGTTCGTTATCTGCAAGGCACATATGGTGAAGCAATCAAACGACACGAGCTAAGGTTGGAATCGGGGAATGACAAGGCGTTGCGGTGGAGCGAGGCACTCCGGGAAATTGCCAGCGTTTCCGGCTTTCATTTAACAACACATCGGTAATATATTCTAATTTAAATCAGCTCTCGTTTAAAAAAGGAAAAAAAAAAATAGAAGGAAATGATGATGGGTCGAACTCAAATCAAAATACTTTGCCATACGGCCTCAAGTGCCATGAGAAATTGGATATAGCCATATATAGGTTGTTGGACTAACCCCTTTCTATTTCATAGTAATTCTCTGCTTTTTGGAACTACTTGGGACATGTTTGCTTGCATAAATTGTTCATTTTTTTTGGTTGACTTTTTACTTGGGACGCCGTACTTAATGTCGCTTTGAGATGGTCTTTTTGGTTCCATCTTAATTCAGCTTCGTCGTTCATGCTTAATTGTACTCGGGTATTCTTAGAATTGCGGTCGAGCGAGAAAGTAACGTCTCCTCTGTGTGTTAGGTCTGGGGTTTCTCCTAGGGGTGTTGAAGCGTCTTCTTCTTTGGGTCGTTTTCATGGCAAATCGTTTTGTGATGGGAGAAAGGGGCTTCTGTTGCTCTTTGCATCAGGTAACGATGGATGAAGGAAGGAGGGTGTTCGGCGATGGTGATTTAGGGGTTTGTGACGTGTTGTTCGAGGATCTGAAATAGGAAGTGAGTGCTGTCTTTCCTCTGTGCTTGGGGCTTCGACTCTGTGGATCTGAAATAGGAAGGAGAAGGAAGTTGAGATTTCAAAGCTGCTGATGGAAGATATGGGTTTGGCTGGGTTCTTTTCTCTGAAAATTTTGAAGATGAATGGGCTGAATCTCTTGTTTGATATGAGTCTAGGGAAGATGGAAGATGCACATAGCTAGTGTGCTGTTTTGGGGAGTCCTCCTATGACTTTTTCTTAGGGGTTTGGTGGCTGGCCTGCAGTCACCCAGGCGCCATGAGGAAACTTTTTTGGCCTGCAATCACCCTCTCACAATTAATATTATTCATATATTCTCTTTCATCATTCTTCCATTTATTGATTCTTATTTGTTCTCTTAATAAATAACAGTAAATTTGGGAAAAAAGATACATGTTTGACATGTTTATTATTTTTAACTAATTTTTAATTGTTAATTCATTAAACGTGATTCAGTTATTTGAAATCTATATACAAGACTGGAGGGAGTAAGTCTGTATTGCTGGTTTATTTCTAGTAATGATGCGTGCTAATTATGGTTTCCCGGATGTTTAATTTAATTTTGACAGCTGGTCTGAAAGTGAGCTGCTTAAGAAAATTGTTGAGGAAGTTTCAAGAGTATTATCATTGGCTGAGGAGCATTCAATGAGAATAGAGCCACAAGTTCATGAACCAAAAGTTGATGAATGGTTCAATTATGACGTTTTCTTGAGTTTTAGAGGTGAAGACACTCGCCACGGTTTCACTTCTCATCTTTGTAGGGCTCTAAGACAGTCAGGAATCCACACTTTCATGGATGATTCAGGGCTTGAAAGGGGAGAACAGGTCTCCGCCTCATTACTGCAAGCAATTGAAAGGTCACAAACTGCATTGGTAATATTTTCTCCAGATTATGCTGCTTCCACGTGGTGTCTGGATGAACTGGTGAAGATAATGGAGTGTCGAACAAGTCTAGCTCAGGTGGCTATTCCCATATTTTATGATGTAGATCCCTCTGAAGTCCGTCACCAGAGAGGCACCTATGGTGAAGCAATGAAACGACATGAGCAAACGTTGGGAAGTGAGAATGATGGGGTGATGCGGTGGAGGGAGGCACTCAAGGCAGCTGCCAACATTTCCGGCTTTAGTTCTTCAGCTTATCGGTAATACTCTAATCAAACCACCTCTCATTTAAGAAACAAAAGAAATGATTATTGGTCAAACTCAAAATACATTCCCATGCGGCCTCAGGTGTCGTGTGAAAATTTCCCCAATTGCTGCAAAATGATACCCCACTCAATAATTAATTTAGTCCACTTTAATTCACTTCATCTTCTATATTCATCGATCTACAATTAATACTTATAGTGCATGTTTAGGAGTCTCCATCAAAAGTTAGTTCTAAGACATATAATTAATAAGAATATTTTAGAAAAAAATAATTATTATTTATTACAAATAACTAGCTTTTGTATTAAGGACTGCATAGTAGTTAGATTAACCCTTTTTTATTTCATAAATAATTCCGTTCTCCGACATTTTGCTTGCATAAATAATACAATCACGTGGGTGATGAGAGATTTTAGTTTTATTTTTAATAAAAATTCTGAATGTAGGAGAGAATGTAGTATGTCTGGTTAGAGACAATTTAATCTTTTAAAATTTATATTTTGATATTTGTTTCTGCTAAATAATTACAATTCTTACAATCCCCTTCCCAATAAATAAATATTATCCTTCGCAAGTCTTTCCAGCTAATTTTCTCATAATAATTTGTCATTAAGATTATTATTATATTAATGAGATATGGATTATGAATATTTTGCAAATCTCTTATAAGATTGAATTTTCATAATATACATGAGTAATTTTCATCTATTGAGATAATGATTTCTTATAAGATTGTGAACCCTTTTATCAGAGGAATTCGACACAAAGTCCTTGTTATTCATAGCGTACATGCCATGCTTGTTTTCTTCATGACTTCTGTGCCATGCTTGTTATTCGTGGTCTCTATGCAGCCCTTGCTATTTTATTATTCATGGCCTCTGTATGTGTTGTGCTTGTTATTCATGGCCTCCACACTGCATTTGTTATTTGTGGCTTTTGAGTTGCATTTGTTACTTGTTCTGTCTTGGTTTCTCTAATGAAACAAATTTTTAGAGGAAAAATGTTTTCAATGTTATTTTGTATCATTGAAAATAAATTCTTTTATTAAATTTTTTATTATTTGAATTGTACTTGTGATTATTTTCTTTGGTTCCTAATTTTGTTTAATATAAGCTTAGTTATAAAAAGTTTGAAAACAAGGTTTATACATGCAATAATTAAAAAAAGATTATCTCTTTCATTTGAAATTTGCATCAATAACAAACTTGCATTCACACATATTTATTTCTAGTGTTTAATAGATTTGAATTATCAAAGTACGGCTCTCAATTCATTGTGCTTCAATATTTATTCACAGGCTCTTAGATTATTTTAGTAATAATTGTGCATTGAGACTCCATTTACTTGCCTAGTTAATTGTAGTCCAGATAGTATAAACATCACCTTCTTGTTGGATAATTGTATTATTGCTTACCATAAAGTTGATTTTATGATAATTCTGATTTATTCTTTTGCTGTGTATAAAAGTTGCTACCAACAATTTATAGATATGATGCCCCCTTCCTTGTTGGTTTATTATATATGCCTAAATTAAGGGAAAGGGTCTCATATCTTGTTAAAAAGAGAATTTGTTGATTGATTGTTGCAGATATGTTTAAGAAGTCAAATGTATAAAGAGATCTATGTTGAGTATTTATACATAAGTTCGTGAATGAATAAATGTATTCATATGATATTTTATTAATAATGTAGATCTTACTAATTGTAAGTTGAAAATATTAAATTAAATCAACTTATAAAGTGAGGTTACCCTACACTTCGTACTGATCGAGCTGTTGTAAGTTTGGGCGGACCAAAAAAAAAAAAAAAACTGATTGCCATATGGCCTTCTTTTGAAGCCCTTCTTATTCGGTTCCATCAATTAATGCCCACTCATTTATCCATATTGGAAGTTTTCCTATGATGCATATAAATATTTAGTAGCAAAATTGGTCCATCTCTTAAGTCTTAATCTCAAAGGTCCGCTAACATCTTTCTATTTAAAATAAGTCTTGTGGGTTTTATTTTTGATAATAATGGTATATATGTGGTTGATTATATTGTTTCACCGATATTTAATATTGACAGGTTTGAAAGTGAGTTGATTGAGACCATTGTTGAGAGTGTTTCTAAAAAGTAGACAATGGACAATTATTTGTTGCCGAGCATCCAGTGGGAATAGAATCACGGATTCATGAATTGACAATTGAATGGTCAGGAAAGAGATCCCAAAAGCCTCTTATCATAGGCCTCTGGGGGATGGGAGGCATCGGCAAAACAACTGTTGCCAAAGCCGTCTACAATACAATTGGTCGTAAGTTTAGAAGAGCAAGAAGTTTTCTTGCAAATATAAGAGAAAATTCAAAAACATGCTACTGGGTTAGTTAATTTGCAAAAGCAATTAATTTCTGATATCATAAAGATAGATTTTTTCAAAATACCTAATATTGATAGAGGAAAAAAAATAATTCAGGAAAGATTTCCCACCATAAAAGTGCTTGTTGTATTGGATGATGTGGATAGTGTTAATCAACTAAACACATTCTGTGGGAGTATTGAATGGTTTTGTCCTGGGAGTATAATATTCATAACAACTAGAGATCAACATTTGCTTGATGTCATTAATGTTGATCATAAGTATAGAATGAGAGAAATGAATGGAATGGAGCCTATTGTGCTTTTCAATTGGCATGCCTTTAAGCAAGCACAACCCTCTGAAAACTTCATAGAATTATCTAAAGAGGTAGTTGCTTATTGTGATGGACTTCCACTCGCTCTTGAAGTCCTTGGTTCTTGTTTGCGTGGGAGAACAATTAAACAATGGAAGGGTGTATTGTCCAAACTACAGAGGATTCCTAATAAAGATGTATACAAAAGGTTAAAAATAAGTTATGATGGATTGGATGACCATACAGAGAAGGACATTTTCCTTGACATATGCTGCTTTTTTATCAACAAGGATAGGAACTATGTCACACAAATATTAGATGGTTGTGAATTTTATGCAGAAGATGGACTACAAATCCTCATAGAGCGGAGCCTAGTAAAAGTTGGTAGGAATAATAAACTTGAAATGCACGATTTATTACAAGAAATGGGGAAAGAAATCATTCGTGGAAGCCCACCGAAACATCCTAAGGAACGTAGCAGGCTATGGTTTCACAAAGATGTGCTTGATGTGTTAACAAAACATTCGGTAAGGATTTTCTCGGCATATTTTTTTCTTTTCCAAGGGATGCATTATCTTTTTCCAACAAGTTTGTTATAGCAATCCTGTACATGAGAAGCAAGATCAAGAGATATATAAATGTTATTTGTTAATTGGCTTTCTCTCAACATTTATCGTAAATGTTTCCCTCACTCAACATTTTTTCTCCCACATATTTGTAGGGAACTGAAGCTATTAAGGGTATATCTCTGAAAGCACCAGAAACCCATAGAGAGCGTGTCATTGATTCTGAGGCATTTAAGGAGATGAAGAAACTTAGATTGCTTCAACTAGATTATGTAAATCTTAAAGGAGATTATCAACATCTTTCTAAAGAGCTCAGGTGGCTTTGTTGGCACAGATTTCCATTAAAATGCATTCCAAAAAACTTTTACCAACAAAATTTAGTTGCTATTAACTTCAAATATAGCAGCCTCAAAGTTGTTTGGAAGAAGCCCCAGGTGTATATATTTATATTATTACTATTTATGAAGATAATCAATATTTTTTATCATATAATTCTACTAGTATGAAGTTTCTAATTATTTTAATTGAAACTTGCATGTTTTTGCAGCTACTGGATATGTTGAAGACACTCAATCTCAGTCATTCGTCTTATTTGACACAAACTCCTGATTTTACAAAACTACCAAACCTTGAAAGACTACTGATGAAAGATTGTCCAAGCTTGATTTATATTCATGAGAGCATTGGGCACCCAAAAAATCTTCTTCATGTAAATCTAAAAGATTGCAAAAGTCTCAGATATCTTCCTAGAAACATCTACAAGTTGAAATCTGTCAAAACTCTTATTCTTTCTGGTTGTTCATTGATTGACCATTTAGAAGAAGATATTGAGCAGATGGAGTCCTTGACAACTCTGATGGCGATAAAACTGCCATAACACAAGTACCCTTTTCATTAGCAAGACTGGAAGGGCTTAAGCACGGATACGTATCTTTCCTTGGTCATGAAGGAAGAGCAAAAGACATATTTCCTTCTCTCATATGGACTTGGATGTCACCTAACAATATTCCCCACTCTCCTATTGAAGAATTTGTGCAAAGCATATCAGCCATCGATATCTCAGTTAGACGGAATAGTAGCTTTTGTGGCCTATCTCCATTTCTGGGCGATCTTGTGAAGCTGCGACATATGTGGGAGGAATGTCGACCTCAGTTTCGATTTTATGAAAGAATGGCAAGACTTTTGGATGCCTTGTATGAGACAAATTTTGTGGGATTGGAAGCAACTCAAGATATACCCCAGATCTCATATGCGGAAGCTTCTGCATCATCTGAGGCCCATGACCAACTTCAGATTTCAAGGCCAGCAGATTCCTTGAAATCTCTTTTACTTCAACTTGGAGTGTTAGACAAGATAGACTTGTTCAGAGAGGAAATTTCTCAGGTTCGTCTCTTTTTTTATTTTAAACCTGATGAGCTTTGTGAAATAACCAAATCTTGTTAGTGCGTGTGTTTTATGTGTAAATATAACGATGAAAAGGCTTCGGTGTTGTTTTTCAACAATATTTAACAGAAACATGAACAATTATTATTTGATCCTTGCTTTCTTTCCTTTTCTGGCCACATTATTATTTGATTCATATGTTGATGCAAAATAGGGATGGAATTATGGTGGGTGGGATGATTTTCACCTACCTGGTGATCAGTATCACGATTGGTTCATCTTTAAGGGTGAAGGACGCTCAGTAATTTTTAAGGTACCTCAAGTCATAGGTTATCGCTTGAAAGCGATGCTTCTCAACGTCAGGTATTCTTCTTGCACGGACACCACAACGCCTCAATTTCTCATGGATGTTCTAATCATTAACCTCACAAAAGCAACAGTAAAACATCTTAAGGGAGACTCGTCAACTTTTCATGAAGATGCAGAGTGGCAGAATATCATTTCAAGTTTTCAACCTGGTGATCTGGTGGAGCTTGTTTTAAGTATTGGACCTCAATATCCTGTGAAGAAGATTGCAGCATACCTGATTTTTGACGGTTCTAAGCCTCGCAGGTTTTTGAAATCATCATTATCGCAAAAGCTGATTTGGGTTTGTCGTATAGCCCCGGTACTTCTGATATGTGCTGCAATTTTTAGAAAGGGAAAATGACAAGTAAAACCTTAAGCAAGATAATGATAGTTAAGGATCCTAAAGTTTAAGTCTTCCAATTGATAGCCATTTCAATTTTAGATAATCAATCAACGACGTTGGCATTTAATAGACATTTTCAAGCTTTATGATCAACTGTCATTATCTTGCGAAAATTGACACTATCTGTCATTTTCCCTTTTGAAATCTGTCGCGATATGTTGGACATGGCAATGTGTTCACCTGTTTGTCTTAGAGGAGAGTCTTGGATGGGTGGATCGGACTTTCAAAACATTATTGTTGTTTTCAAGAACTTTTTTTTTTTTAATTTTTATATAAAAGCTTTCCATTCCAACAATGTTGTCTAAAGATCAACTCTCTTAATACAATGTGAAAGTTGGAAGTCCAGAATTTTTAATTTTCAGAGAAACCAATTTGAAGTCTTTTTCCCTTTTCCACCATAAACATGGAAAATAAAAGCAGAGATTAAGAAGGAAGAAATTCTCTAAGAAAAGTCAGCTTCCTAAAATTGCATGTGAGTAGCTATGAAGTACACGTTTCTAAACAAGACTTGTCGCCTTCAAAACAGGTTTTTCAGAAAAGAGTAGAATAAGAAACCTTGACCTTGCACCACAAATTCCAAGTCAATATGAATTCAAATGCAAATGTAATTTCTTATGCTAATTTGTGACACAGCCTCCTAGCATAACAATCACAAATAACAGTCAGATTGATTCTGTAATCTGTAATTCCTGTGTGAGGACTAAGGATCTCGTGCAGTACATCCATCAAAGATACAAGGAATTTTGATTGCTGTCAGAAAAATTGACAAATAATTCCCTAACCCAATCATAACTGAGAACAGAGTTTCCACTATCCCTGAAATTCAACAAGCACATAATATGAAGAAAATAAAATTGTGGAGATGAGAAATTCAACTATGGAATTTCTGCCTACAAAAATCATTTCTGCCTAAAGATGCCAATTGAGAATGTCATATAAAATCACTGTTGAAGCTTTAATGGATGAAAGAAAGAGGTGGCTTCATATGCTGGAGGCCCTGTCAAGAAGATAAAAGAATAATTCAGGTGTCCTTATTTAGTCATGAAATGGAACCTAAATTTATATTTGAAGATTAATCAAACAATAAGTAAAATTCCATTATGGTCCTCCATGATACCTGCTGTATCATAAATTTCATCCATAAAAGGATTACGAGGGAAAGCCTAGCAGCTAGCCACTCTCAACAATCGTGAGCCTAGACATTGACAAGACAAACCTAGAAAGAAGGATAGATATATACAGGGCTCGCTTCTGTATTGGTTTTTGAAGGATCATAAAGGCAGCCAAAAGTACTGCTGTTCTATTTGTTTCTTCTGCTCAAACATAAATGTGGATCACAGTATGAGTTTATGTACATTAATTAAAGTGTACCTTTCAGCAACGTAAATTAAAAATTTGCAGTAAATGCTCACTACCCATCATGACCTATGATGTCTCTTCTCATGCTATGTTATGTGTTTGCGATCATATCTAGCCAGCCACTCTATTGCTGCTGCTGTTTGTATAATATATGGGTCAGGATTTTCTTCAGACTGATGGGCCCAACAAGTATTGGGACAGAAAGTACAAGAGAAGAACCAAAGATGGCCCAGGGCCCATGTCTGATCAGAATTTGCCACGAAGAAAGGGTAGAAGCGGGAATGATAATATGCAACAGGGGTAGCGATTTTCTGACATTGTCAGGTAGTGGGAGTACGTTTTAGGAGGGAAAGGCGTAGTAGTGAGGTAGGCAATTGGTGTGTTAGATAGGAGAGGCGTGTCTGATCTCTCGAATATCAGATCATGAGTGTTTTCCTTCATTTTCTAGCTATTTTCTTAGCGTATTTCCTGGTGTGTTAGCTTTTTGCATCAATACAATCAGTAAAGAGGATACACGGCAATATTTTCCCAGTCATACAGTTTCTAGCTGCTGGCTCTATCACAGACTGTCTCAAAGTAAACCGCAATAGAGAGATCTCATGGTACTATTTAATGTTAGCAATGAATATTAATGCATAAAAATGATAACTTTAAATCTAAACAGCAAAATTTTTCAAATCAAAATTCTAGATCTCTTCCCTTCCTGTCTATTCTTCTCAATCCAATCATACTATAAAATCCAAGCCTTTAGTGAGCCAATGTACTGCAACTCCATAATTCAGGACTTGTATGTTTTTCTACATGAGAGATGGCACACCTTTTTCTTGAGAGTAACTGGGTTTTGTACTATTTTAACTTCACAGAAGACATCTGGATTGGTTTTTTTCGTAAACGGTGAGGACTTAGGATCACATACAATATATTCATTATTGTAACAGAAAATTTCTTTGCTGGTAAAAGAAAAGGCGACAAATAATTCCCTAGCTCATTCATAACTGAAAACACTGCTTTCATTATCTCTGAAGTTTAACAAACACAAAAAGATGATATTATCGTCAAGACAAATATTAGGCAAGAACGGGAATCGCATACCAACAGTGTCGCTATTGTGGCTTTGATGGAGTTGGGGAGGATGGTGGCTTCATTTCTGGGTACTGTTAAAAACATAAAAACAATCAAACAAGGGTCCTTATTTACTTGTAGAATTAAAGCATGAAATTTTAGATATTACAATAAAACCACTCATACGCCAAGGTAGTGCTTTCCGGAGAATTACCCTATTTTCTAAACAATATGATTTAGAACGCCAGTAAGCTAACATGCTATAGGATACAAGTGTGGGCCCAACCATGGTCCTACTGAAATGCTAACTTTCATGCTCATACGTATTTGCTCAATAATTAAAATGAGGAAGGAGTTGAACCTTTCACCACCAAACAAACAGAATATTATTAATCTCACTAAAACATGTTTTTCCCAGCTAAAATATCCAAAAGTGATTTGATAGTACTTAAATAGATGGTAACTGGGGGGAAAAAGATGGTTTCAGTTAATGTACATTTGGGTAGGGAGAGGAGGAAGCTTTAGAATCAATTTTCACATCTGGAAAGGATTCTGCAGACTTTCTCGCAGGTCCAGTGTCCGAACTTTGATCTTCCGGTTTTGGGGAGAAGGAGTTACCATTATCTTCATTTTGCTGAATGGCCCCATTTGTACCAAGTTGTTCTGAAGCTTGTTTCTTTTTCCTTGGGTAAATATGTACAGAAGGAGGTAAAAGGGTATCCTGTATTTCCTGCAAATATAAAGGCATAAAATTGATTCCTCTAAACCATCCTTCCAACAGAACTTTCTGTGACAAGAAAGCTTCATTTAAGGTTGTCATCAAATAAAAGAGTGGGAATTGAACTATCACAATATAATAATGAATCCGCCATTTAGGATTTTTCATATTCAAAAGAGTATTAGATAAATGTTGCAGTAAAGGATGAAGAATTTGATTATTTGCCAACTAGCATCAAATTTCTTATGAATTTTATGTGGTGAAGAACATCAGGCAGAATTGGGAAAAATAAAAAATACACGTACCATCCACCCTTGCTCGCCTCTGACTCCTCCTCTAATTGCATATGCCTCCTTGAAACCATTCTTAAATAATAACTCGGCCACTTTCATGGATTTACCATCAAAACTACCTTACACACAAAAAACAAAGCAACTCATGGACTTTGAATTGTGTATAGCATTTGGTAAAAGAAAATGAAATTTTGTTCATCTACAATTCAACTTCTATCACCTTTATGACAGACTTATATAAAATTATATTCAATCTTCTGCAAAAATTAAGATGTGAAGAAGTGAACAGTATAACCAGAAGATAAACTTTGAAGCATCCAATTAAAAGACATTTAGTAGGTCAAAATAAATCAGCTTGTCGTACAAACAAGAAAAAGCTGCGCAGAAAAGGCCCAAAGCCAATCCCAGATGAAGCTGCAGATAAATTTGGTGTTCAGAATAGCACCTAGGTCCCGTACTGTCCATAGGACCAAAACTCGAAGCAGTTATTCAATCACTCCTTCGCAGGGGGTATGTTATAGAATGAGATATAAAAAACACTGAAAATACATCAGTCACATTCCTCCAAGTGCCCTTTATGATTATTTGTTTGATAGTTTTAGTGAAATAAATTATCAAATTTCCATCATATTTTTGTATTTGACCTTCATAGAGATCCACATGTAAAACTGTCAGAAACAACTCTGCATTTGCCAAATTAAACAATTCGATCAGACCAAATTTTTATTTTGGCATTTCCTCTTGGTTTCCAATAAGCTGCACTTTAAACCTAAAGAACACAGGATTCAGAAATCTTTTCCATCATAGGAGAATATATTGCATTAAAATGCTATATTTTATTTTACTTACTTGTCCAGAATACAGAGGACAGTATTTGGTGCATCGTTGACGCTTTCCAACACCTTCTTGACAAACCCGTTTTCGTCTCCTTCTGAAAATTCAACCTGCACTGTTTCCTTATTCAAAATTTTCAAATTGGGAGACCTCAGGAACTTCAAATTCTTTCTATCTCTTATGTCCACGAGCTGAGAATTAGGGTCATCCCGCAGCTTCCGATATGCATCTAGGGCAGATATGAACTTGTATTTTCTAAAATACTCTTGAGTCAAAGGTATAGCAACCAACCAAATGAAAGTACACCCGGCGACGAAAAAAGGATATCTATTTAAAAAGTTATCAACCGAGACGACAATCGATTCCAGATTGATTTTGCCCGACTCTGTCTCTGCCACAGATTCTGCGGCAAGGCAAGGAGAAGCAGCGAAGAGGTCAATTATAGCAAAAGATAAGCACCTGGCAAGATTTTGAGGAGAACTCTGAGAATGGGTTTGAAGCGAAATGGGAATTTTCTTAGTGTAATATGAAGATTGGAATGAAGAATCAGGCGGTTTCGGGTTTGAGAGAAGATTGAAGGGTTTGAAGGCAGGAAGATTTTTCTGGGTTGTGGGGTGGTTTTTGTAGAGTGGGAAGAAAGAAGGGAGAAGTATAGAAAGCGTATCCATCAAGAGATGAGGAAGGAAGCAAGAGTGACAAAGAAAGGATAAAAATGGACTCTTGTACGACGGATCAACTCCGTTTAATCCTGCTTGGAATGTTAAACGGTCGGAGTTGGCGCATCATCCCTTTATCCCCCCTTAAACTAATAATTAATAATATTTTAAAAATAAACTTTTCTTCTTTTTTTTTGTGGGTTGAACAAAGGGAAAATGACAGTAAAATACCATGTGAATTTCAAAAAGACAAATAAGGCACATGAATAAGCAAAATGACAAATAAAGCATTGGGTACTAATCTGGAATTTTGATTTTTGACCTAATGACCGAATTGCCCTTATTATGGTTGAAAACTAAAGAGATGGAGAAAGGGAGAAATCGCCTCCTCCCGGCAAAAGCAATCCCCCCACTCGGCGAAACTGAATCCCCTTACTTGGAAAAACCAATCCTCCCACTCGGTGAAACTAAATCTAAGCTCCTCCAATCGCCGAAAAAGGTTCTCTGAAATCACATTGTAGCCGTTGCAGGAGTAAAGTGTTGTCGGTGAAATTGGTAACCGTCCAAGAGTGGAGTGCAGTCATTTGAATATATGTAATGTATCTGCTGTCATATGGCTACTGGTTTTTGGTAAATACTGTTACTTGAATGGTACATTCCATTACACATGTAGTTAGTATGAAAGTTAATGGTTCAATGTTTACTTTGATGTACTTCAGGTACAGTCATTTGAATATATGTAATATATCTGCTGTTATATGGTTGCTGGTTTTTGGCAAATATTGTTTCGTGAATGGTGCATTACATTACACAAAGTAGTAATTCTCACTATGCAAGTTGTAAATACCACTATGTGTTTTGTAAAATTCAGCGTGAAATTGTAATGTTTTTTATAGAGAATTTACCCCGCCCCTCACAAAAGGTTGCAAAGCCCATTGAAGAAGTAGTAAATATCATTGTGAAAGTTGCTATTCCCAATATGTATTTTGTAAAATTCAGTGTGGAATTGTTTTGTTTTTGACAGAAATGTTGACCAGCCCCTCACAAAAGATTGCAAAACCCATTGAAAAAGTAGTAAATCTCACTGTGAAAGTTGTTATTCCCACTATGTGTTTTGTAAAATTCAGCGTGGAATTGTTTTGTTTTTGACAAAAAAATTGCCCACCCCCTCACAAAAGGTTGCAAAACCCATTGAAGAAGTAGTAAATCTCACTGTGAAAGTTGTTATTCCCATTATGTGTTTTGTAAAATTTAGCGTGGAATTGTTTTGTTTTTTACAGAAATATTGGCCAACCCCTCACAAAATGTTACAAATCCCATTGAAAATGTAGTAACACTTACTGTGAAAGTGTAAATCCCACTATGTGTTTTGTCAAATTCAACATGGAATTATATTTTTGTAGAGAAAATTTGCCCTGCCTCTCAAAACAGGTTGTCAAACCCCTCGAAGAAGTGGTCAAATTCACTTCGCGAGTTATAAATCTCGTTATACGTGTAGTAACATTCTAGGCAAATGATTTAACAATACTTGAAAATCAAGCAACTTTACATTTCCTGAAACTAGTTTGCAAATCCCCTTACATACAAATCCCCTTGCAAATCGGAGAACCTTTTTCGGTGACGGAGCTTGGATTTAGTTTCGTCGAGTGGGGCGGTTCGGTTTCGTTAAGTGGAGGGATTGGTTTCATCGAGTAGGGGGATTCGGTTTCGCTGAGGGGAGGGATTAGTTTCACCGAGTAGGTGGATTGGTTTCACCAAGTGGGGGTAGTTTCTCTTTCACCGAGTGGGGGGATTGCTTTCGCCGGGAGGAGGCCCTTTCTCCATCTCCTCAGTTTTCAAACATAATAAGGGCAATTCGGTCTTTAAGCCAAAAATCAAAATTCCAGATTGGTACCTGATGCTTTTTTTGTCATTTTGCTTATTCAGGTGCCTTATTTGTCTTTTTGAAATTCACATGGTATTTTACTATCATTTTCCCTTGAACAAAATTTCATTTTTATCCTTATATCAGTGTTTTTCTATTTGATCCCTCAGTATTATTTTCGAAAAAACTGGTAAATTTTCAGATGAAAAAGTGAAAATATACAGGAGAATCTATAAATCACTGATAACTATTTTTTTTTAACTTTTAATCACAATGACACGTAGATAAATTGGATGGCAACAGAAAAACGCTTGACAGATACATTGACTATATATATTTATACTATTTCTATGTGAGTGGTTGGCCAACAAAAAAGAAAAAAAAAATCTACGGATATGAATTGTGCCATGAATTATGCAATGAAATCCATAAACGGAAACAAGTCAGAAAATAATAAAACCCTAGTTGAACCCTTGAAGTAGTTCTTCAACATAGCCTCCAATCCACCCGTAAATCCCTCCTCTCTCTTGAGCAGAGAGGATCAGTCGGACTTCAACTGAATCAGCAATCACCCACTTCACTAGCTCACTCTGAACACTGGCCAGTGGCTGGCTACCTTGTCCTCTTCCAGTTCTTCGTGCAGGAACCATCAGCAGCGGCAGCGGTATCTCTTTTCATTGTTGGTTGTATCTGGCAGACTTGCTTGTGTACGGCTTGGCGTCCGATCTTTCTTCATCAGCGCAAAGTTTGCCGGCGTCGTGGGGTATGATATTTAGGTGTTTTCTTTTCGCAAATTTTCTTCTTCCGTTGGAAGCATCCAACGGTTTCAGGGTCTTCGGATGTTGGAAAACGCTTAGACTCTTTCTGAAATTGCTTGGAAACGCTCCGCTTACATGCTTTTATGGTCCGGCTTATGTAAAATTGTAAAGTTATTGTCTTTGAGATTTAGGGGTGCCGGGTATCTACTGACCCCTCAATCCGAAACAGAGCCCCGCTACTTCTTCCTTACAACTTCAAGTTTTCTCTGTTTGCAGTTAAAATGTATTTAAGTTCTTTTTTTCTTTTGGGTTTTTGTTCTGGGTTGGAAGAGAAAAGCAAATGACATAGCCCGGTAGTACACAGTAGAGTGAGGTGGTGCTGGAAGGCGAGCGAAGCCCGGCCGGCCGTTAAAACCCTTCTAACTTCGAAGGTGGTGTTCTGGCAACCATTAAAAATGAATTTAAAAAACTTTAATGTATAACCTCTTTCGAATATTTATTTCATACTGTAAAAGTATCATTAAAATTATAGTTTGATTTTTTCTTAAACACCTGTTAAATTGAAGACCAAGCTTATAATTTAGAGTGTAAGTTGGGTTTAAGAAAACCGACCTTATGGGGCTGAAAAATAAACATGCTGGCCCTCCCGACTGCTTATGTGTCTGTATATTTTGAAAACTCTTTCACTTAGTAGCGGTTCAATTCAAAACCGGTAATCCGGATAGTAGTCTAGTTTGTTTTGGATGTTAAACTAGGAGAGTTGAATCGTAGTGAACTAATCAAATCAGAATGAATTGGTGAAAACCGATAAAAACCGATATGAACCGGTAATGAAATAGTGTGGATGGTTATGTTGTTATTAGTCTTTTTTTTTTCATTTAACTCATAATATCTATCAGTCTCTATAAATTTAAATGAATTTTAATAATAATTTTGATATCAATAATTATTAATTTTAGTTAATAATAAATTATGAAGACTAAAATTCTTAATGTGATTAATGTTGTTATATTTTTTTATTTTTAATTAAATTAGATTATTTTAATATGACTGGTTGGATCTCAATTTGATTCCGATCCGACTAACTAATCTTTGAACCACTATCTTAATCGGTTTAGTATTTGGTCCAGTTTTTTTATTTCTTGCTTATTAAATTAATATCTTATCTATTTAATAAGCAAGAAATAAAAAAAATTAGGGAGGTTATGGGTTTTGTTTGGTTAGAGGGGAAGGGAGGGGAAATTTCTTGTTTGGTTTACAAGGAGAGGAGAGGGAAGAGAATTATAAATTGACAAATATGCCTTTATTTTTATTTAACTGATTTATTCTTTTATTACAATATTTATATCAAAATTATTATTTCCGAATTTATTAATTTCAAAAAACAAATTACTTCACTTATATGTGATAAAAAAAATTATGAAATAAAAGTATAATATATATATTAGAAAAGTGAATAGGAAAAAAAAACAAGATCTTAATTATATAATAATACCCTCCACATATTAGGAAATAAAAATATATATGATATTAATAGTATCATTTTATAATTATAATATATATTAATATATATAATTAATTAATATATTAACATATATGCATATTATATTTGTGTGTGTATATATAACTAAGCAACCGCGGAAGAGAATGTAAAGATAATCATGCCAAACCAAAAAAATATCAAGAGAACACTACTAGAATATTCAAAAAATAATATGAATATATTTATTAAGATTCTCATAATATTTTTCTCTTTCAAAAATCCTCAATTTAGAAGGGGAGGGGAGCACCTCCCCTCCTCCCAACTAAACACATCCTCCTATCCCCCCTCCCTTCCTCTAAAAAAAACCCCAACCAAACAAAGCCTCAGTCCTTCTCGCAGTCGCCCAGTCGCCGACGCAGAGAGCAGAGTCGCAGCACCGGCACGCAGCCACGCACCACGCAGCTTGCCTCTCCTTCCCTTGCGAGTTGCGACACCCGAGAGAGCAGAAGCAGAGCAGCAGCGGCAGCGCACCAGGCCACCAGCGCCTTCGGCCTTCACCTCTCCATCTCGCATCTCGCATCTCGCCTTTCCTTCCCCGTGCTTCACTGCTTCTTCTCCCCCTCGCCGTGCGCTCGTGCCCGTGGGTTGATTCTTGATTGTTAGTATTTTAGATTTAGATTTCCTGCTCATATATGTTACTTTAGTATTTTAGATTTAGATTTCCTGCTCATATATGTTACTTTTCTTTGTGTTAGATATATATATATGTAATCTGATGTAAATGTTAGATTGACCAGTACCTTTTTTGTGTTTGTTTGCTTCGCTTGCTGTAACAATCAATTGCATTCCTTCTTCATGTCGGGTGAGGAGAAAATCCACCTTGTCTCTTTCACTTAGTTTGTCTATTCCACTGTGATGGATGTTTAGGCCTGAGCCGTGACGGCCCGGCCTGGCCCGGCCCGGCCGTTTTCCCAGTGCCAGAGGTGGGGTGTATAGAGTAGTCTTTTCTTATTTGGAAGTAGGAAATCCAATTTCTACAACTTTTCAGATTTTTCATTTGTTTTCCACCTCATGCACAATGGTAGCCTAACTTTCTTTTTTCAGTTCTCATTATGAATTACGTCTTATCCCCAGCTTCTAGTCTAAATATATTTTTCTTTCCTATTGTCATTCATTCATTTTGTTTCTTTTTCTTTTCTTGTCGTTGTTTTCATAATCTTTGTAGCTTATTGTTGGGCATACGTTTGCTGCGCTTCTGCTTCACTGAAGAGTAGCAGCAGCAATGGAGGGCTTGAAGGTTTCAGATGCTAATCTAGTCGTATATGTTCATCCTTCAAAAAGTAACAAAGTTCATCAAGCGGTTCTCAATGAGCTCAGCACTTTGCTTTTCACGTAAGTTATCTCACCTCCCTTTGATTTTATAGGATTTATGAAAGCAGTTATGATTTTTTCTGTTTCAAGGACATTATTGCTGATAAAGTTTTAGCTGTTATATGTAGCTGCTAATTATTTTATTTTTACTAGGGTAGAAAGAGATTCACGGCAATGTTGGGTGCTGGCATTTTTACCCTGTTTTATCAACTCGTGATGAGAGAAGTGCAGAAAAAAGTTTGGTTTAATTTGATATGGGTTTCGTTTATATATTTGGAAATTGACAATTACAGGATTGCCAAACTCTGCGTGTTGTACACATGGGAGCACCATAAGTTCACTTTTGAGTTTTAATTTTAATTTTTTGGTATCTTGAAAATTTCGGGCCTCAATTATACCTGGTATACCAATGGGCTTACGTTGTTGTAATGCTATTTTCGTGTGCTGTCCTTGCAGGTTCAGTGAAATCTTTGATGGAGTTGTGTTAGCCTATGACGTCAACTTCCTTGAGAAATGTGCAAAAGTTCTTTCTGGAGTTCATCCTTATTTTGGTGTTACACTAAAGGCAAAGTTGTTACTTTTTTCCCCAAAGCCAAATATGCTTTTAGGTGATTCACTTATTGTGGTTTAAGAAACATGAATGTTAGTATTTTGTAGTTACTTGATCGTATCAAGCTATAAATAATGAAATTAATCTTCATATTTTTCTGTTTCATATATTTATTATGTTCTTATTTTTCCAGAGTTTAATCACATCTTTAAGTGTTTTTTGGACCCCTATGTTTCCGTTGCTAATTTAACCAATCGATTGTTTCTTTCAGAAGCGAAGGTGGTAAAGCTTACGCAAGAATCCATTCATGCCATTGTGCTTGGCTTTTCTTCTGCAATAATAGCTGACAAGGACATTAGGGAAGAGTTCACATACAGAAATGCGAGTCCCTGAACATGATACTCTAAAATATCTTTCTGTCTTTCCTCCTTAATGTTATGATTGTGATTTGATTAATGATGTTGACATGCTGTTTATGTTTCTAATAGAAACATGGCCAAGGTAGGTACATAAGCAGATTGCACAAGCGGCATGTGATAAAGGTTGGAACCATGATACGCTTTGAAGTCAAGAGGTGATAATGCTGATGCTACCTAAAATGAGATTGTGGTCAATGCATTTCTATTTTCCATCAGAATCCAATTCATTGTAGTGTGCTACACATTTTTGTGTCTTTGTCTCCATTAGGAAGTAAAGGCTTTGCAAATCATCATAACTGAAATAATTGGAATTGATTTTTTCAGTCTTGATGTTAGCTGTTTGTGTTTAAGCCTTCCTGATTGCTTTTTAGGCATTCTGTGCCCGGCATCCTGAATAGAGCATAATGAATGTTAGTGGAACTTAAGGAATTTAATGAGTTATAGATAATATGATGTGCACGAATTAAGTGATTGTAATTTTGTCTATGTTGTGAAAAAGTTATTCATCTTTTTCTGATGTTTATGTGCTGACATTTGTCGTTGGGGATTGAGTCAATAACATTTTTCCCTTATTGGCATCACTGATTGAGTATTTTCATATGTTTATTTGTTTCTAAGACCCTTTGATGTAGTGATCCAACAATGAACCATGAAAATGAAAACAATTTGTCATGGTCTGAGAAAGTGGGTAGCTATTTAATAATTTCTAAGCATGATTGAACTATAACAGAGTGGTGGTAGTTATTCGGTAAATTAATTTATTACTCTTAATAAAAAATTTACAACTTAGCAGATTTCAATTTTCTTAAAATGAGTTAGAAAGTGAGTTGACCTCACTGTATGATCTAAAAAGTAGAATGAAATATACATTTTGAATTTTTTTTTAGATTTATATATTTTCAGTTGGTCTGGCAAATATTTCTTGTAACCTTGGTCACTCATTAGTTGATCAGCAACTGGTAAGAATAACGTTTCATGCACGTCCTAGATATTTTCATATTTTTCTCGCGGAGGTCTCCTTGAAGATGCTTGATATGTCTGCTGCTATTGCAACTTCGTGACATGATTTGCTGTTGTTCATTACATTTGTTCTCTAGCTTCCTGAATTTCAGATATTAGATCATACATATGGTTATGTATTTCTTAAATGTGTCCAAGTTTCACCTGGCAAATTACTCATCACATGACTCCCATCAATGATTCGACTCTGCAGCTTTGATGAGGAAATACTTCATGTTTTTGGATCCCTGAAGCTAGATACCACAGGCAGCATTCATTGGTTAGATAAGAACTTGGAAGATGTTCCCCAAAGTGACAGGTTCCTATTCCCCCACTCACTTCAACTCATTTTTGGACTAATAATATTACTGGCATAGGGGATATTTTTGGACATGACTCTAGCATAATCTAATACAGAAGTGCAAAGAAGAAGAGAGAAAATGAGGGAGAATCGCTAATTTTTGAGCAAAATGCTATGGTTGAGGAACCAATTTTCTTGGACAATGCACACGCGAAAAAGCCAAAGAAACAAAGAATTAAAGAGGAATCCTGAAGTTGAAAGTAGCAGGGGAACTCTCTCTTGTATGTATTTTGTTTTCCCAGGTAACTTCTCTTCTTTCACAAAGAAATTACACAACTGAAATTATGAAGAGAAGCAAGACTTTAAAAAAATCATCTAACTTTATTGTTTTGGACACATGCCAGACTGCATTACCAGGAAACGGTTTATTTGTTGTTTTTAATTTAATAATTTAATTTCTAGAATTGAACTTTTTAGTTATGCTTAAACACAGATCTGGATCCTCTACTCATCCTTCCTCTCATTTTCTTCTCATCCCATCTTCATCTTTAGATTAAATTTGAACGGTTGAAATTTAATATCTTATAAAATTATATTACAATATCCGAGAGATTATATTTTAGACTGTTAAAATTTGATCTGGATATTTAAGTATAGACTGTGTGACACTAGAAAAATTAGTTTTATAAAATAATGAAGCTTAGCTGTTCATTTTTCAATCCAACAGTGGGAATGAGAGAAGGAGGAAAATGGATGAGGAGAGAATCCAAATCTTTTTAAATGCATGGTAAACCTATAAATAAATATATAATTTTATATCTTAGTCGCTTGTGTTTGATTATTTGATTGCTGGGTCTTTCTTGCAGAGGGCTTTCACATTATTTTGCAGCTTGGCAACTGTCTAATGCCCAAGAAACAGCAGCTTCATGTATCACTAGAAAACATGAAAAGAGAAGGGAAAGAGGCCAAGAAATCTTAACAATACCTTGAGTTAGTTTTGGTCTTAGACACAAACAGATTTATTTACAAGCATCAAAACTCAAATATGTTAAACCTTGTAACCCATATTCGGCTTTAATTTAAATCCAAGTTTGTATGTCCTATTGAGTGCTGCCATTTTATTTATTTATATATCTGTCTCCGAATAGAGGCAGCGTCTTACTTTTGCTTTCTTGATTCGAATCATTCTGGATTATCACTCACAACTAGAATACATAAAAATGATTAATAACAACGCATGGTGGCCAGTCTTATTGATGGAACAGTGTGGATATTGTAACCATTTTTATGGGATATCCACATGCAAGGATAAATACAGCTTGCTGTCCCAATAGGACGCTTAGGTTCTGAATTGATGATCGAGGTTGTTTGACACTCCCTCTTATCCAAAACGAGTTACTTTCAATCACCTCACTGAAACCAAAGACTGGTTAGCTCATTAAATCTGTCTTGAATTGAAAGAATTTTTTTAACTCTGCCTCTTCAAATGTATCTCACCTTTCTCATCTTTCTTTATATTCACTGTGTACTGCCAATAAGTGAGTAAAATTTGAAAAATGTACTCTCTTTTTTTTTTTTTATAAAATCTAAATAATTGAATTTTATGGTTTAAAAAAAATTGTTAAAATTAGTTAAAAGTACCACATACTTAGAAAATATTTTTTTGTTTAAATATGTTTTTATTTATAAATGGGTAGATGAAAATGAAGTGGGGAAAAAACACAGAATGTATGGGAAAGGGATGGAGAGAGAGAGAGAATATTAATTAAAAATGAAATAAATAAAAATATATTTAATGTTTAGACCTTTTCCTCTTATAAAAATGTGCTTGAAGAGCACCACATCATTTGCTCTGACAAATGAAAATACATCACATCAATAAATCAAATTTCACGTGCAAGCTTATCTGTATTTTTCTTTCAAAAATTTTAGTTTCCATCTTTTTGCCTCGCTTCTCTCCCCTCCGTCATGTTTTCCTCTTCGTCTTTTTCTTTTTCAAATCCGCTCTCCTTGTTAACAATTTTTCCTTCGCTCCAACCTTATTCACCAGATGCAGAGCGGCGTCCTTTCCTCCTTTAGCCCAACAGAAAATAAAAACAACAAACCACACATAAATTTCAGACAGGAGATTCAGATTCAAGAAGATCAATTTTTCCCTCATGACTTTAGATCTGATCGAAGGGAAAATGATGGTTACGAGTTGAAGGAGGGAGACATTGGTGTACAAGAAGGAGCGAATGATGGAAGGGTCGGAATCTTCGAAGCGGAAGAAGCGAACTCGAGTGAGTCAATGACGGCGGGGATCGGAGGAGGTAGGGCGGGGGGGAGTGACGATGGGAGGAGTTGGAGAGTGAAAAGCAGGTGACGCGAGGTAGGGAGGAGAGGCAAGACGAGAGAGTATAAATAAAGAGGTGAGGGAGATGAAGGAAGAGAAGCGGAAAACCGCAGCATACTTTAGAATCAGTGATCATTTTGAGAAACTACAATCCGTTTTGATTGTGTGAACTGTGAACTGTGAGGCCATGACGCATACAGCGAGCTGAAATCAAGACGATCAATTCTTGCAAAAAAAAAAATAATAATAATTAAACAAATAAACATTGACTATCAAGACAATCAGACATAGTTCATCATTTTTTGGTGTGAAAATGAATAAACGATTCATTTTAAATTACTTTTGGTTGTACGATCAATCTAAACATGATTCCTTTCATTAAAGAAAAATTCGTACATACATCTTTATATATTGAACAGATTTTTTGGTTAAAAAAAAAACAAGAACGGATGTCTAGATCCTTCAAATTTAGCTTTTCACATTTAGTACGAAAGTCGAGACAGCTTTTGTGAGAAAGTGGAATTGTTAGCTTTCACTGAACGTGCATTTGAAATGTTGCTCAAACATGCTTAAGATATATTGGATCTGTTTAGAACAGTTTATAAATAACTTGTAAACTGTTTTTTAATAATAATTTATAAAATATAAGACAAATATATAAGAAGAGTTTTGTCTCAACTTACGTGAAACGCGTTTATAAAGAATTTCCACTGTTATACTAAACGAGTTATTGTTGGGCAGAGAAGAGAGGTGTTTCATTTAAACCATGTTCCATTTAAGCCAAATATGTACTTAGTGCGTTTGGTGGGCTATAATAACTCTTCCAATGGAAATTAGAAACCTCGGTTTCATCAAACACGTAAAAACATCTTTCATTAGTAACAAGGGCGTGGTTGAATTGGCAAGAGATATATCTAGCTTAACCATTGATTTTGTATCTGAGTAAGGGGAATGCAGCTGTGTTAAAACGTGTTAGGAGAGGTTGCCGCGCAAAAAGTTCCACAACTAGATTAGTCAATTGCTTGGGTAATGAATCTAGAAAAAAATGTTGAATACCAGTATTATTAAGGATTGAAAGAAAAAAAAAAAGGAGTCTTTCATCAAGATAACTAAGGAAATGTAACTTCGTTTTAAATTCATATTGTCAAACGTCAAGGACAAAAAAAAAATTACTCTTTATTGGTTAAGATTAATAATTATCTCTCTTTTCATAGAGAATATTTGTCTCTTTAAATTAGTTGTTTTCTCAATTATTATGTTAAAATATTTTTATTTTATTATTATAATCCAGACAAAACGTAAAAATTGGTTTCATGAAAGAGTCATTTCTCTTTCCTATTCAGTGTGATTTAAAATCGGTTAGACGACATTTTTGCTTGGGAAGTTTTCACAAAATTAAAGAGTCATGGCTAGTATCTAGAATTTTTTTTTTTTTTTTGGGAACAATGTCATCCTAAAAATTGTAAAAACATAGCAATCTCGTCTTGCCCTAACAACTCAAACTGTCAACCGTTAGTTGACTCAATTACTGCTAAGCTGGCTTTGACATGTAGAATATTATCCCACATGTTATGCTACCTAATAAGTCATGTCGTCATCATCATCCTCACTGAACAAAAAAAAAAAAGAAGAAGTAAGAATCAGATTGAACGCATCGTAGCAGATGATATCGAGCCGATCTTCAACTGCACCCGCTTGTTTTTCTTGTTTACCTTCCCCTTCATCTCCCTCCTCCTTTTCACAGCGTCCGTTCACAGAGGCCAAACGGTTTCCAAGCTCTTTCGTTGAAAAGTGCAAGAAAATCCCACCGCCAAACCAACCGATTGTTAAATCTTGTTATTCAATTTTTGAGCAAGTAACACCATGGAAACACCCAAATGGTACTCTGTTAGGCATGATTTATCATTTACCATTTAACAAGTAACATTAAAACGTACTCTCAGTGGCGGAAATAAGCTCACCGGAGAGTAAATGTTTGAATGGGATGGCAAATGGAATTAATTTTATATATGGTCACCAGAAATTGCAAAAACAAGAGTGAGAATCTCCTAATAACTTCTCAGTTGCAAAAAAGAAAACAAGAGGGAAAAAAAAAAGGCGGACCCCAAGCTTCTTCCCAAATGCCCTTAACCAATCTCTTAAAAAAAAAAAAAAAAAAACCAATCTGGAAGAAAACAGAGAACACCGATCGAAAGCCGGGGAAGATGAACAATGAACAAAAAAATTAACAATTAACAATTGCCCAAAGCCAGATCAATAGAACACAAAGCTTAATCAACATCCTCAGCAAACAAAAAGGAGACGGTAGGAGTCAATGGAAGAATAACGGGAAATTTTCTGCAAAATGTTTCAGAACAAGAACGAGAAGGCTGAGAAGGCAAGAGGGAGAGTGGTGATGATCGAGATCTTTAATGCAGGAGGAAGAGTGGCGTTGGCTTAGATGATGGTTGACCGTTAGAGTCTGTTAGGACAGGTTGACATTATTACATTTTCATAACCTCAAGGTAACCTTACTCCAAAAAAAAAAAAAAATTCCGAAAATCCATAGCTTTCCGGGATAAAAAAGCTCTTTAACCCATTTAAAATAGAAAACTTCAACTCAGATTATGCGCGCGCGCACATTTATACAACCTTAAACGCTTTGGTTACACACACACACACACATATATATATATATATATATATATTTGAATTAAGAGATTGGTAATAGAACCCATTTGAAACAAGGAGGCATCAGCAAGTGGGGTGAGGAAAGTGATCATAACTATAGACCAGCTACAAAATCTCTCTCATTTTAACGGTAAGCTTTTTAACTACATGTCAGTAAATCAATTAAATGAAATAATAATGACGAAGTAAGTGGAAAAGAAACATAATTTATGGTTAGGAAAAATTCCAGAGCAAAAATCCTGAAGTTAGTATTTTTTTTTAATTTAGGCACCTAACACTTCAAAATGATGAAGAAGGAGGTAAATCCAAATTGAAAGTTTGAAATTCAAAGGAAATGACAAAATGCCCCATTTTAATTATTTATACGTTGGAATCCATAAATAGGAAATCAGATAAATGAAATATTAAAACTGTAATACATAACTACCTGAATGCAATAGCAAGATGTGCAGAGGAAAGCCTCAAGGTACTTATTTTAATGGTGGACCAGCTAGAACACAAAGTAGGTGAAATGCGTATAAATGAATTCCACTTTGTTAAAAAAGACCCCTGGGAAGAGGCACTCTGATCGCAAAGCCTTGAGTCGAGTTAATCAGTTAATCAGATACTTGGTTATAGGATTCGAAAAAACCGTCGCATATCGGTCGCCCAAAGGGTTATTAAAAATAAGAAGATATGCTGAGGGGAAGGGTGAGAAGTCCTTAGGAAGGAGGAATGTGAGATTAAATGAAAAGAAATCTAAGCACAAATGATATGTAGGACTGTAGCAGGAGAAACAAAGTTTTTTTTAATTGAAGGATCTAAAACTGAAAATACAAGAATTTTAGGTAAATCGACATTACACACACACACACACACACACACACACACACACACAATATAGAGTAGTCTAAAGTAACTGGAATTATAGCTTATTATACTGACTTGTTTCCTTAAACATAAGCGTGCAGAGTCTAAAGTAAGGGGCGTTATAGTTTATTATAATTGACTGACTTGCTTCCTTAAACACATGGGCTACAAGCTGGCGCAACCCAGTATTTTGGGTAGTTGATTTGCAAAGAGAGCCTAAACAAAGACTGGTACAGTCAGTTGCATATTTTTCCCTCGTCAGCGATACACACACACACACATAAATATATATATATATATATATATATATATGATTAGAAGTGATAGCACCAAAGAGATGAGGGGGAACAAATGCTTCTTTAATCTGACAATTCTATAAGCCATGACGGATCAGTAGTGTATTGTTTTTTTTTTTTTTTGGGGTGAAAAGTAATGTATTTTAATCTGAAGAATCTTGTTGGCATCTCCATTCCTTTTTATAAAAGACGCTTTTTTGGGTATCACCTTTTTTTTTTTTATAAGAGATATTTAGAGGTTGTTTTAAATTTTTTTTTTGTTAATTTTTTATTACACTCCAATTTAATTACTCATATTACTCAAACTATCATATTGTATTTAATTCCCTCGGAAGGAAAGTTTATGATGTTAGGTGCCCATAACAAAAGGTAGATTTATACCTTAACCCTTTAATTTTTCTTTAAAATCTGAGATCTGTAGGCAATTGCTCCTATATTTTCTTGGTCAACTATATATTATATATAATTGCTTAGAAGTGATAAGGTGTGACAGATCAGTAGCTAGTGTATTTACATGTGAAGAAACTTGTTGGCATCTTCGGCACCGAATCACATCGTATTATCGAGTGCCCATGGCAAAACATTTCATGGGTAGATCTGTACCTTAACCTTCAAATTTTTTTTTTTTTTTAATCTGAGATCTATATGTAGTTGCTCCTATGTTTTCTTGTTCAACTATATAATTGCTTAGAAGTGATAAGGTAGAAATGCGACAGATCAGTAGTTAGTGTATTTACGTCTGAAGAAACTTGTTGGCATCTTCGGCACCGAATTACATCGTATTATTAAAGCATGTAATACATTAATTAAAGAATGAACATGTGCGTTGATAAAATAGTAAACTGAACAATTGAGAAAAATATTGAGCGACGAACAGTATGAAAAGAGACATAAGCTCGAGACGCCAAGGTTTACCACAAGTAACACTATATATATAAGCTCATCAAGAACCAGATGACGAAAGCCTGAAGGTAGAAGCTTAATTATCGGCGACAAATAGAGAGTGATTTCGCAGAGACAATACAATGAATCACCCACGGCATGACCACCCAATGAGTTTGAAACGTCACAAAGCAAACCCATTTGAGTGCAGCGGATGCAAAGAACTAGGGTTTGGCCCCAGGTACCAATGTTCAAAGAATTGTCACTTCGTCCTTCACGAGGACTGTTTCAACGCTCGCCCTACGGACCCACCCAGAATCCATTCATTAATGGGTAGCAGCAAATTCCCAGTTTCTTTGGGAACCTCCTGGGGGAGCGAACCGCCGGTTGTGTCGTGCTTGTGGGATGGACGTATGAGGTTTCATGTATCATGATCAATCCATACACAAGTTTCACTTGCACCCTGTTGCGTGAACCTTAAGATCACCGTGTGTGATCGATATACGTAGTATATAGACATATATCAGTTATATAACTTTTCCCTCGTCAACTATATACATATATATATATATATATATATATCAATTAAGAAGTGCTGGCATATAATTTGATTAGAAATGATCGCTCTAAAGAGATGCTAGGTAACAAATGCTTCTTTAATCTAACATTGCCCTCACCTACATGGGAATGTGTTTGGGTGATCATCATATTTACACCGTCCAAATCTTATTTGAACGGTCTAGATTTAATTTTTTTAAATAATTATTTTAATGAGCATAGAATCTAAGATAAAGGTAATCTTTTAACTATCTCTTAAGTATTTTTTTTAAAAAAATAATTTTTTATTTAAAAATAATTAATTCAAAATTTTTAAATATAGATCACTCAAATCAAATATAGATAGTTCAGATTTGATATGCCTAAAGGATTCATCACCTTGATGAGTACTCAAACTGGTTCCCACCTTACTTGACAAGATATATATATATATATATATATATATTTGTATATAAGTTTAATATCATTTTTAGTCCTAAAAATTTGAACTTGTTTTGGTTTTAGTTCCAAAAAATTTAGATAGATTAAAGTCAAGTCAAATTTCATAGTCTTGTATCGATCAATGATTATTTGAATTGATTAAGTTCCTAAAGTTTTATAAACAATTGGTCCTTATGATTTGAACAAGAAGTAAAACTATTAAAATTAAGCAATAAAATTGTAACTTTTTTATTTATTTAAAGGATATATAATGATTTAGGAGAAAGGCTCTATATTTTAAATTTTTTTTTCCATATTAATGAAATATCTGCCAAAAAATAATAAATGAATATCACATAAAATATCTCATTAAAATAATTGTTATATATATTATATTTCGAAGTTGATTAAGTAATATTATGTGGCAGGTAGTAAATAATAACTAGAAAATTTTTAAGATTTTTAAAAATTGAGATGAGTTTATGAAGTTATTTAGATTATCTATAGTTAACTAGATTTTAATATTTAGATTTTTTTAAAATAAGTAAATTTAAAATTTATTTTTATAAAATAAATAAAATATCTTTTAATAAGTAATAACTTAATGAGAAAGCTAAACATAGATTATCTTTCTTTCATTCGTCTATGTCCTACACGCTGCCTCTTTTTTCTTTTTAACTAATTTTTCATTCTCCCGTAGTCATTCCCATTCATAGATCATTCCCGTCTATGTGTGTGTACGTACACACACACACACACACACACAGAGCCAAGCTCAATGTATTTTCAATTAATTTACCTGATTGTTATTTTTAAATTAGGGAAGCAGCACTAATGGCTTAGGGTTATAAGCGGATCAAATCAGTGGCCTCCCACTTCGAAGGTAGTATTAACAGTACGGGATTACAAACGAATCAAGCCCATAATCTCCCACTTAGGAAACAGTAACACTAATGGCTTGAGGTGAAGTGGATTGAATCGGCGACCTCTCGTTAAAGAGAGCTTTCATAATATTAGGCTACAAACTCATAAAAGAAATCTATTTATAATTACAATTGACCGACTTATTTCTTTTAACTATTGCTTTTCCTACTAAACCCACACTTGGGTGGCTAATAAATCAATTAATTATAAAGTCACTTTCTTGCGCTGATTAAAAACATGCATCAAGTTACATCAACCTTGCCTGTTTGTATTTTATATGGAAAATCAATTATATTATTGACCAAACCATGGTTTTCTTTAAAACATCCAGACAAACCAGCTTAACAAAATCATTTTACAAATCATAATTATGAATCAATTTTATTTAAAATATAGTCTTCTCAGGACTAATGCAAACAGGTCCTAGCATAAGAGCTGACACAATGACCGCTATATATCAATTATATTTGTATATATATATTCTCAGGAAATTACTCATATATAAATCTCAGATAAGAAAACTAAATACAGATAGGTTTTAAAATTTTCATATTTTAAAAGTTGAATTTGCATATTTACAAGTCAAATTGCGTTATTTGTAAATGAAATTTGCAAGAAATTGGATTTCTTAAAACCAGTTGGCATTTAATGTCTTTTAATCTGAGAATCGTGAATGATTTTTCCTACATTTTCTTCGTCGTCGATGTATATCAATTAAGTAGTGGTAGGTAACAAATAGAAAGTAATTGAGGAGGGACAATGAGCCCCCCATGGCATGAACACCCAATGAGGCTGGAACGAGACGAAGCAGACCCATTTCAATGCGTGGATGCAAAAAACTAGGGTTTGGCCCTAGGTACCAGTGTGAAATGAATTGTTCCTTTGTCCTACACGAGGACTGTTTCAAGGCTCGCCCTACGGACCAATCCAGAATCCATCCATTCACGGAGCGACGCTTGCGGGAGGGACCTTAAGGGGTTCGTGTATCATGATCAATGCAAAAACAAGCTTGACTGGCACCCTTGTTGCATGAACCTCAAGAGCACCATGTCTGATCCCTATAACAGGATGACTATGATTCTTAAGGACAAAATGCCCTCCAAGTGGGTGAAATGTGAGAAGAAGGATTTACAAGTACAGAGCAAAGGGCCGTTCAGAGGGTGGTCATACGCGTCTTCTTGCTGAAACTATTGTTACCATGTCTATTGTGTGAAGAAATTGATTCTGGATAACTGGGAAAGTGGCTATTTCAATGTTGGTTCCTCTTTTTTTTTCTTCGTCTCCAGGAGGAAGAAATTTGTCCATAGATGAGACTGCAACTCAAGCTTGATCACATCAGCCAAAAGTTTTTTGGCCTTGGCAAGAAGAGGCTCGTCGAGATCATCTTTACCTCGTGGGTTGATCAACATGGCCAAAATAGGTTTCAGCGTTATAATATCAGTTACTATTTGGAAATCCAACTCTACTGTTCACTGCTCTCCCTGAAAAGTTACTGGATTAAAGGAAACAGACACCGTTCCAGTATATGATATATATAATTACGCAACGGTATTTTCATATTGCTCGTAATCCTTGAGTTTTGTTTGTATTATGTGTGACGAACTTGTGTTACCTGATGATTGATTCCAGTCTCTGCCAGTTGGCTTCGTGTTCTCTTGGCAATTGGTTGCACTGTTTTTGCTGATAAAACTTTCTTTCACTTTGTTTTCTTTTACGGGATCCTCCAGCCTTTAAGTTTTAGGTTCAAGTCCGGATTGATTTCTTTTTGAATTTGATTTTTATGTGTAAAAGAACATTCTAGGTTTCGAATGTGAGGCTTTAAGAAGTATTGATCTGTATATATGTAAATCCAACTCTGGCCGTGAAAAAACTATCTGGACACGAGGTTGCAAATTAGAACTCATAAGATTACGGCATATCATGAAAAAGATATAATAACTTCATATAATAAATTTCTAATGGATGATTTCGATGGATTTTTAATGAAAAAGACTTAGATATTTAGTTCTTATATTTTGTCCTCATGGCATGTGGATTTTTTTATGGATTATTTATTCTTTAACAAATACTATTATTAGCGCTTTGAAATTCTCTTCATCTAATGGTCAAAAAAAATTCTCTTGATCTAATTTAATTGGATAAAAATATTTTATATATAAAATTAAATATCTAAGTTATCTTTATTTTGAAAGTGATGGAAATAGAGAGAACAACCGTTGATCTCTTGGCTTCATGATCCAATACCACACGCAAGTAGAATCACTACGACTTATCTAGCTTTTTTGTTTTTTTTTTTGGGGGGGGGGGGGGGGGGAACGAAGAAGAATCACTAGGACCCAACGTATGCTACACGCGGTAGGTACACGGCTGCATTAAAGACAGGGAGATAAGAGTTTCTAGATGTAAAGAACCCGATGATGCGTTGGCAAAAAGGAAAAAAAGCGCCCCCCTCCGCCCCGGCGGGGATTCTTTAGGGCGGTGGGAGCGAGCGTTTTTCTCAAAAGTTGGATAAGTATCCTTCACGGAATCTTCTTTTTTATAATGATGTTTGTCATTTTTCTGTTTTTTTTTTTTGGGTCTTTAATGGTGATGTTTTTGGTTTTTTCGGCAATAATCAGATTTGAGGGCTTCAATGACGACCAATCTCACAACGACTTCGATTCGCGCTTTTTGGAGTTGGATTTTAATAATAATGGTCCTGCTCCCTGATAATGAAATTTTAGTAGTTTTGAATTTCTAGGGAGCCTTTTTTTCTCATATATGGGTATTATATACGTTATTTTTAAAGAGAATAACCTCTCCCACTTTTTCATCTATTGGTCATGATATGAGTTTTAAAAATAATAAATAAATAAATAAATATTATTTTCTTTTTTGGGCTCTAATGCGCCCAAATCAATCACAGGTGAATCTTCATAAAACCCTCCGTTTTCCAATTGAATTAGTTTTGTAAATATGGTATACAAGGCAAGTAGTAAGAGAAGTTTTTCTTTTCAATTTACATGAAATTATTTTTTTTTAAGTGATTCCCCTGAATGGATTTACTCTCTACAAACTCCCTTTTCAATCTCATATATTTAAGTGCTGTAGACCACGGGCACATGATGGCTCTGCTTGAGTGTTCTTGTACCATTAATGCTTTTCCTGCGCCAGTACAAAACAATTGATCTCTTGATGATTTGTTCGTACATTGATTTAGACATCCTAAATTTACTTAAGAGTTGAAGAATTTAGGTTTATACTGTGGGTTTGTTTAGACTTAAATTTGTAATATGTTAATGGCAAAATCAAAACGACACGGTATAAGAGTAATTATGCAATTCTCTTTTTTGAGTAATTATGCAATTCATATCTTCTTTTCTAAAGAGCAGAACTTGAAGCAAGTGAATAGAACCTTGTTTTTTATTGCTATGTGAGTTAAAGGTGTAATTAATTTATTTATCGATATTCTTTAACTTTAACAATATTATAGAGATATAATTCAACATATACTATGATTATCTTAGATACATTAATTTAAAGTGTTATGGTAGGAAAATGATTTTTTGCTGTTAAAGTGATATATCGACAAAAGGAAGATTTATTTACAAGCATGAAAACTCAAATTTGTTGAACCTTGTAATATCCTTGTTCGGCATTAATTTAAAACCAAGACTTGTATATCCTATTGATTGCTGCCATTTTATTTATTTACATATCTATCTCCCAATAGACGCAGCATCTTGCTTCTGCTTTCTTGAAGAAAATCATTCTGGATTATCACTCACAACTGGGATGTCTTAAAATGATGATTAACAAGGCATGGTGACCTGTGCTATTGATGGTACTGTGTGGGTATTGTGACCATTTTTATGCCATATCCACCTGCAAAGATAAATACAGCTTGTTTCCCTAATGGGACACTTGGTCTTTGAATTTATGATTCTCGACTCTCGAGGTTGTTTGTGATATGTGCATGAGCACCAGTTGGATCATATAGATCACAGCACAGTTTTGAATCAGTGATCATTCTGAGAAAGTTAAATCTGTTTTTGATTGTGTGAACTGTGTGAAGCCATAATTCATACAGCTAGCTGAGACAGTAAAAATTAGTCGTCTCGAGTCCTTCAGAGTATTTTTAATTGAACAATCTAAAACTGAAAATATGAGAATTTTAAGTAAATTTTTCTATGAATGATTTTGTTCACACAATAAGTTAATTGATCGATAGTATACTTACTCAGTAGTGTTTTGTATTTTTCAATATCTTCATTTGATATGTTTATATGTTATTGAGCTTTACAATTATTCTAATTTATTTGCTATCAATTAAAAGAAGGGAAAAAGACATGAAAAAATGACAGTTAAATGATGAAATCGTCAAATGGTCATCCAAATAAGCGAAGTTTTAGTTTAGTAATAGGTGACCAAATTGGGATTTGCAAATTTGTTGGAATGACCAAACACCAAATATCCTTGCTAGAGCTCTAGGGTCCTTGGTCATTAGAGCTCCAGCCTCTGGCAGCTGGTAACTATTGCTTTGAAAATTTTTTTAAGTCTAGTAATGCGATTAATAAGTATTTTTAATACTTTTAACAAATTTATTACAGCAGTTAATAACTGATTTTCTAGGAAATTCAAAAAGTGACTTTTTATAAACTTATTCATAGCATTACAGAACTTACTAATTGCTATAAAATGGATCGCTTTGGGATCGGATGGTTACCGCGTTTGACACCCAACCATAAAGATCCCACCAGTTTGATCCACTAGCTTGGTATGATGGAATTAAAAAAAAAAAAAAGAAAGATATTGAATAAAATGAAAAAGATATAATTTTATAACAATTTTTTTTGGGGTGAAATATATGCTTTTCAGAACATGTTCAAATAATAAGGGGGGGATGGAACATAGATAAAATTTGAATTATATTTTGATATAAAAAGGGCAGGAATATTTTGGATCTGACACATTTTCTTATATATTAGTTATTCATCAGTGAGGAATTGTAGCGAATTATCAATTTTAAATCATATGTTGAATTTTTTCTTTGCCAGGACCATAATTTGATATTATTTTTAAAAAAATTATATATCAATAATAATTGGATAACCGAAATATATATATATATATATATATGTACACAAATAAAAAACGTGCTCCTAAAATTTTGTCTTTGATTCGTGTGTTTATACGTATTAAAATTTCTTCAATTCACACATGAACAGATATTCCTCCAAAGCAACAAATAAAATTTTATACGATCATTTTCATCCCACAAGGAGACAAAGGGATAGGAGAGCAGAGCAAAATTCTTGAACGTCAGCCAAAGTTTAAAATATATTGATATAACAAAAAGGGGGAAAAAAGAGTATATTAAAAAATTACGAAAGAAGAAAAAAGGGATTAGGAATCTTTTTATGTTTCACACATTTCTTTCATACATTATATAATTATATATCATATAGCATCTAAAGTAAGCAATATATTATTTATCAGTTATGAAACATTGATAAGAAAATAATAACTAAAAAAACTTTTAAAATTTTAAAAAATTGAGATCAGTTATAAAATTAGTTACATATCATCTGTCCTTGATCAATTTACTTTGACTATTCTTCCCTCCCTTAATTTCTATCACCGCCTCCCATCACCTCATATACATCCAAATCCCTTTCCTCCTTGTATCTTCTGCTTTTCTCCGAAACATCCGATCCGCGTAAAAAATTTATAGTTGACTGACTTGTTTCTTTTAACTGTGGCTTTTCCCACTAAACTAATCACATTTGGGTGGCTAATAAATGAATTAATTATAAAGTCACTTTCTTTCGTTGATTGAAACCTTGCGTCAAGTGATCAACCTTCATTCTCGAAGATTTGCCCGTTTGGATTTTCTGTCAAAAATCAATTATTATTGGCAAACTCATGGTTTTCGTCAAAACAAAATCGAACACTCCTTAAAATGTCAAGATCAACTTTTAGCCTGAAATTTCATACCAGCTTCTGTTCCCAAAATCATAATTATAAATCAATTTTAATTAAAGTATATCTTTCTCATCGCTTATCCAACTAGGTCCATATATAATAATAATATAACATAAGACCTGACACAAACACGACTACATATCAATTATATACGTATTTGGAAATATCACTCATAAATCCCAAGTCGGAAAATTGAATACAAATATGTTTCAAAAATTTCATACTTTACATATTTACTATTTGAATCACGTCATTTATAAATAAATTTGTAAGAAATTGAATTTCTTAAAACCTGTTGTAATTAATATTTTCATCCGAGACTCAAGGACTGTTTTTCCTATATATTCTTCGTCATCCACATCTATACCTATATATGCCAATTAACTAAGCAGAGGTCTATAATTGATTCCAAGTGATAGCGCCCAAGAGATGATAGGCGACAAATGTTTCTTTAATATCTCACAATGCTCTCAGCCATGACAGACCAATACTGTATTCATATATGCGGAGAAACTTACAGGCACCTTCGGCACCAAATTATAGCGTATTTTTAAGGCATACTATGCATTAATAAAATAATGAATATATATGTATATGTTCCTTGATCAAATAGTAAACTGAAAATTCGAGGAAAGTACTGAGCAGGAACAGTATGAAAGAGAGACTATCTCAGGAAGCCAAGGTTGACAAGAAATAACACCATATATATAAGCTCATCGATCAAGAACCAAATGTAAGTATCAACGTAGAAGCTTATCATCAAA